CAGGTCAACCCCGGTCCTCGGGGGAGACCTTGATCTGGAGGAGGTGGGAATGGGGGGTGGGCTAGGGGGAGGGGTGGGCGAGAGGGGGAGAACAGGGGATTCTGTGGCTATTATGTTGAACTGAATGGTGTTGTAAAATAATAATAATAAAAATTAAAAAAAAAAATCTGGAAACTGTAAAAATGAAAAAAAACTAAACTAGGATATTACAAGTATTAGAACTTTAAAAAAAAAAAAAAAAAAGAATTTATTTTTGTCAACTTAAAAAATAAATAAATAAATAAATAAATAAATAAATAAATAAATAAATAAATAAATAAATTCAGTCAGGTATGATGCTCCATGTCTTTAATCCCAGTACTGGGAAGGCAGAAACAGGCAGATCTCTGAGTCTATCTAGTCAGTTCCAGGCCAGCTAGGCTCCATAGGAAGACTTTGTCTCATAAAAAAATTAATAAAAATTTAAATAAATTCAGATTCTGCCCTTGGGACTCACTGAGGGCAAGCCGCTTCAGAGAGGCTCCACAAAACAGACTGAATGAGGGGTGACACAGTTCAGGGAGGCATCTCTTGCCTTAGTCCTGGCCTCAGAGGCTGAAAGACAAGGCAGGATGGGTAGAAGGCAGGGCTTTGGGAGGAACCGCCCTGGCTCCACCCTTCCCACTTGAGAGCCATGGGGAGCCCAGGTCCTGGTGGGCCACCCCTGGTGCAAGCACCCTACACTGTTCTGCTGCTGCCACTGGAGACGAGCCGCCAGGACCCAGGGGCCCAGAGCTTCTTCCTCTGGGTGAGTACTAGACCAGTGAGGTCTTGGGACATCCCTTCCTCTGATCTGCCCTTGATATATTCCCACTCAGCTCTGAGGACCCATAAGCTTTCCCTGTGCCCTTGCCATCCAAGTCCTCAGCGGCCAGTCTAAACTCACACTCAGTGACCAGGCAGTGAGCCCTTAGGAGAGTTGCCCATAGCTAGGACCCTGCTAGGAGTGAGAGTTTTGACCTGCGTTTGCCTGCTCAGCTGCAGAAGATGCAGGCTCTGGAGAGGGAACAGGATGCTCTGTGGCAAGGCCTGGAGCTGCTGGAGCATGGCCAAGCCTGGTTTGCAGACCACCTAAGGGAGTCACAGCGACGACAGCTGCATCTGGGGGCCCTTGGTGAGGTAGGGAGCAGCCTCCCGTGCACGGGCTGGAGGAGGGAGAAGCAGGAAGGACATGGACCTAGGGGAGTCTGCTCTGGAGAGGGCAGGGTTAACGGGCAGGGATCATGAAGTGGAACAGCATTGGAATGACAGGATGCCCCTGTGTTCATTGTTGGGCTGGAGAAGCTGTCTGCATTCCATTCAGAGGGACTGCACACTCAATCACTCCACAGAGGGGGAGTGGCCTGGGTGTCTCTCACAGGGCAGGGATGGACAGGGATGGACAAGGAGGACCCATAAGGGACAAGAGTGGGTGGATGGGAGTGGGTGGCACCCTGCAGTTAAGGGAACTGCAATGTTAAAGAGATGGAGGTAGAGAGGACTGGATTTTCCCACCTGTCTGGAAGGTTCTGGGACGAGGGAATCTAGGTGAGCAGAGTGGCCTGGGTGGATCTGTTCCTGGCACAATGTCATCCTCCAACCCATCCAGGATTTCCTAATGAGCTTCGACTCAGAGGCTGACTCCCCACAGCTAACCCAGATTCAAACGGTGAACGCTTGTTTGCAAAGTCTGGTTCAGAAGGTGAGCTTATTGTTTTTAATGTATGGACTCTGGGGAGGTGGAGGGGGTTTGGAGCCACACTGATTTAGCCCCCCCCCCCCCCCCGTATCCACTCACAAGGCTGGTTCCTGCATGGCCACAGCCAGGAGAAAATGCCAAAGGCTCCGCTAACTTGTGGTAGCAATGGGCAAGCTGAAGGGTGTGACAGGCCCTGGCCCCAGGGTGGGAAGCGGTGCCAGTCTGGTTCTCTCTCTTCTAGGAGTTGTCAAAGCAGCATGAAGAAGTCACCCAGTCCAAGGGAGAGGTGGCTCAGCCAGGCTGCCCCCAGGGGCAGAGGGGCCCGACCCGCGTGTGAGCACTTCCCTCCCAGCACTGCTCAGTAGGGGCGGAGTTGGAGTCAGAATGCCCCACAGTCCCCACACACCTTATTTCATCCGACCCAGCAGCCAGGGGCTCCAGGCTGTGGGTCAATGAAATCCAGACATGGTATAAAGTGTACAGGAAACTCCTCAAAGTGTCCACCCCATCTTGATGTCCCTTGCCTCACCTTACCCAGTGCCATGTGCAAAAACCACCTTCCTTCAATGTCTCTGGGGAGAAGGCACCATCCCTGAAACCTCCTCCAGCTTAAAGTAAAACTAAGCTAAAGAAGCTGCCCTGGAATTCAAAGTGAAAACTGCACTTGCTGGTGCCCCTGCCCTGCCCTGCCCCTGCCCCTGCCCCTGCCCCTGCCCCTGCCCTCCTGGAATAAACAGCAGCTTTCTTTAAAAAAAAAAAAAAATGCTTTTTGTTTGGTTCCTGGTCAGGTCAGGAAAAGCGCCTCACGGGAATCCATCACCCTCCACCCCAGTCTCTACGGTTTGTTCGGTTGATGCTGTTTTTGAGATAAGGTCTCATAGCTCAGGCTGACCTTGAACTCAGGGCAGCAGCCCTCCTACCTCAGCCTCCCTGTCAGGGACACAGGAATGGACCCACCATGCCAGTCTACTCCTTTAAGAAAGATAAGGGAGCTGGGCGGTGGTGGCGCATGCCTTTAGTCCCAGCACTCGGGAGGCAGAGGCAGGTGGATTTCTGAGTTCCAGGCCAGCCTGGTCTACAGAGCGAGGTCCAGGACAGCCAGGACTACACAGAGAAACCCGGACCCCTGGGAGGGTGGGGAGTAAGGGACAAGTGTGACAGAAGAAAAATCCAGTTAGGAGGGCCAGGGCCCCAAAGCATGTGACCATCCCACCTATGGGGCGGACTGAGAATGGTGCTGAGAAGAGTCCTGTCCCTGTGGGGCTGCCGTGCTACCAGGAAGAGCAACCTAGCAGGAACAGCACCCCTCCAACTGTTCCCCACCAGGCTTTGTCGACCACCCCTCCCCCAGCTCTGTCCTGAGTCACCAAAGTGGAAGGAAGCGAGGCTGGGGTGGCTGGAGGGCGCCCTCGGTCGGCAGAGTGGACAGGGGTCTCCGGTTGATCCTGCAGAGAAGAGAAGAAATGGAAGTGTGCCCAGCTTGGCCAGGAAAGAGCGAAAGTGGAAGCGCCTTACCTGTGAGGACGGGGCCAGCACCAGGAGCCGGAGGAAGGCATGGGTCGGGGGCACTGGGCGGGCTCCTTGACCCACCGCGGTCACAGTCACCATCACCACACTGTCGGGGGCTGCTGAATCGGGGACCTCCAACCACAGGCGTCCCCAGGCAGACTCATTCTGTCCCAGGTGGGCCCTGCAGAGGGACAGAAGGCTCTGGGTAGCTAAGGCAAGGGGTGGAGCCAAGCACAGGCCAGGGATGAAGACTGAGGGCCGGGTGGAGAGGTTGGGGCTTGGGATGAGTCCTGGAGCCCCAGCCCCATAGAACTGAAGCGTGGAGCTGGAACCCAAGCAAAGGTAACTCACCGCAGACAGGAAATGAAACTCACCTGGAGAGGTTGGAGGTGAGGGAGAAGCCAGGGTTGACGGACGTCCTAAGATCAAGATCCTGGGGGCCAGAGAAGCTGGCGATGTGCAGACTGAGAGGAGCCTTGCTGCCCGGGGTCAAGAAACTTGGCGGGCCACTGAGCTGCGGGGGAGGGCAGGTTAGAGCCTCTGGTTCTAGTCTCCCCAGCCCTTGCCCACACTTGTCCTCACCTCCAGAAGCACTGGAGCCACAGGGCAAGGCTGGGGGGCCGTCCTGCGCAGACCCTGTCCCCCTCCATCCTGGCCAACCAGCTCCAGAGAGAAGGGTGCAGGGACCGAGAGCAGTGTGGGCGGCAGTGAGGCCGCGAGCAGACCCCGCTCAGGGGGTCCCACGGGCTCCAAGGGCACCCGGCCCAGATGAGTGCCCTCCGGGACCCTCCGAAGGACAGCGTGGGAAAAGTGTGGCCGGCCTTCCTCAGGGTTCTGTCTAGAGACTAGCCCCGTCACTTCCACCAGCAGCTGGGTCTGCAGACCTGAGGTAGGAGGGAAGGACAGAGACTGGAGGAGGTGCAGGGAAGACGGAATCAACACTCTTATCTCCAACTGCACGGGATCATGGGAGTGTGTGGTGTGAAGTCCACTGAGCTGGAATCTCCCATTAGTGTTCTTTACTCATCAGACAAGACACATATGTATTCCTTTACACACACACATCCACGTGAGGGAGCACAGGTCAGGGAGGAGTCTGCACTACCTGCAACTGGCTGAGTCAGGGGGTAGAGGCCAGGGTGGGGTCCATCATCCACGGCGATCCCAAAGTGAAAGAGGAAGTCCAGGGAAGTCTGGGCTGGCGAGGGAGGCAGTCAGACACGCTGAGAGGACCAGGGTCACCATGTCCACCACACCCCTTCCCAGGAACCTTCTCTCCGTACCTTGCACTCTCACCCGGGGAATCCCCTCAGCGGCTATCTGGATCTCCCAAGACCCTGTCTGAGGGGGGTCAGTCATGGTCACTGTCCAGAACTGTCCAAAGCGACGAGTGTGACCCAGAGGACCTGTGCCTTCCTCTGGGCCCTGGGACACCCCTGGGATGGGGACAAGAGACTGTCACATGAAATGATTCCTTTCTCTCTGTGGTCCCCTTGTCCTCCGCTCTGGATTTTCCTGTCTGCCTCGAGCCCACATTATAGCACCTGCAGGGTTCTTGATCCAGAAGCTGCTGATGTCCCCGTGCATCCAGACTGTGACCTGCCGGAGCAGCCTGTCCACAGCAAACACACAAGTCTCCCCAGGGATGAAGACACGAGGCTCCAGGGGAAGAGTCACCTGGAGATATGAGCAGGACCAAGGTGGAGAAGAAAGGAAAGCTGGACTGAGGTGGGAACAAAGGCAAGCAGGAGGGAGACGGAGACGCGGCCTCACACAGGGAGAGGGGTCGTCAGCGGGCCCTGGACCAGGGGCAGTGCCACTGTGTCTGGTGACACAATTGGAGGCCCGGGGTTCAGAGCAAGGCCGCCATTTCTTGTCCTCCTCAAAGATGATGAATGGCTGGTTATGGTGGCTCATGTTTTAATCCCAGCACTCAGAAGGCAGAGGCAAGCAGATCTCTGTGAGTTCAAGTTCAAAGCCAATCTGGACTACACAGTGAGTCCCAGGTCAGGCCAGCCAGGACTACACAGTGAGACCTTGTCTCAAAAACAAAACTGAAAAATGAAATTTTCTTGTCTCAGCCCTGGAGACCAAGGTGGAGGGCAGGAGGGCAGTTTGACATGAAAGGCAAGATGGACGGTGAGAAGCCATGGATCTCGGGGTGCGTGCCTGTGACACCTCCCTCCCTGACCTTGTCAGAACCCCTTCTCCTTTAGGAAGAGGCACGCGGCATCTCAGACTCCAGATCTGAGCCAGGGGGGACATGGGCCCCTCTGGCCTCCACTCACTCACCCAACCACCAGCCAGGCTCTCTCCAACAATGGCTGCCACGTCCTGAATGTGCTGGTCTTTGGTGAAGATCACCTCTCCTCCTGAGGCCAGGGCGATGGCTTCATAGGGTTCGAAACGCAAAGGAGACAAGACCTCTCGCCGCGCTCGCCCCTGAACCCTCAACGGGTCTTCAGTCACTAGGAATGTCACCTGTGGCCCAATGACAGCCCAAGGCTTGCGGTGTCCAAGCAGCATGCATTGTAAAGGAGGGATGCTGGGCCCCACCTTCCCCAGAGCTGGGGGGGGTTGGGTGGGACCCCCCTGTCGTCCCCCCCAGTGACACAGCCCTTGGGAGAACTGTCAGCACATTTCAGTTTGGATGACACATTTCCCAGCTTTGTTTTTAATTCTGTTTTTATATTGGAATTTAGTTTTTCTTTGTGTGGTGCCAGGGGTTGAACCCAGGGCCTCAAGGTAAACACCACCAAGCTACAGCCCACCTTTGCCCAGGGTACAGGGCACGAGGTCTTTGTGCTAGCAGAAAAGCACCAGGGAAACCAGGAATGTTAACACACAAGGTTGTCTCCTCAACAGAAGAGATGAATACCCACCTAGAAAGTGGGAGTGACGGAGTAATGGCCTGGTGATCTGTCCTACCCGCAGGGCCAGGCCTCACCTGAAGCCCAGACCATTGTTCACCCCACACTCTTCCTCCCTGGGCCTTCATCCTGAGCATTGTTTCTCAGGCAACAGAACCCATCCTTATGGAAAGAAAGGTCATACGTACTTAGCAGTTTTATTGTGGTAACTAAAAGTTACCAGGAGACTTTTCCCCAAAGCTGTACTATACTTAAATATGCCGAAAGTAGACGACTGACCAGGGTCAAACTCTACAAGTCTGAACCAACACCGGCTGCCTTCTTGCCTCACGTAGACAGTTTCTCTGCCGGCCTGGTGTCTGCAGAGACCCTCACAGCCCAGGTCTCTGAATGGCTTGCCGGAGCCGTTGAGTAGGAACCAGCATTGCTGAGGGCATGGACCCTCACTGTGGAGTATGTTGAAGGTTGGGGGGGAACCTTACATGAAACCACGTCTTTCCCAACTCCCGGGAGCTAACGCGGCTCACCCTGCAGCGCCGCTCCCGAGTCAGGGATTCCACTCGGTTGGTAAGAAAGGCATCCTTGGGGGAGGCGTCAGTGAAGACAAAGATGTCTGAGAGAGGAGGTGTGTGCAGCAGGGCCAGCTGGGAAAGAAGAAAAGGCTGCTGTTAAAAATGGTGGCGGCAGGGGCGAGCCGGGAGGGCAGAGCGCAAGGGGGCCCCCGGGGAAGCAGGGGCGAGCCGGGAGGGCAGAGCGCAAGGGGGTCCCGGAAGCAGGAGCGAGCCGGGAGGGGGGGGCAGAGCGCAAGGGGGTCCCGGAAGCAGGGGCGAGCCGGGAGGGCAGAGCGCAAGGGGGTCCCGGAAGCAGGGGCGAGCCGGGAGGGCAGAGCGCGAGGGGGCCCCGGAAGCAGGGGCGAGCCGGGGGGGGGGCAGAGGGCAAGGGGGCCCCGGAAGCAGGGGCGAGCCGGGAGGGCAGAGCGCAAGAAGCAGGGGCGAGCCAGGAGGGCAGAGCGCAAGGGGGCCCTGGAAGCAGGGGCGAGCCGGGAGGGCAGAGCGCAAGGGGGCCCTGGAGGAGAGGATGTCTGGCTCGGGCTCCTCCTGGTGGCAGGGCCTGGAAGGGCAGGAGAAGAGGGGAAGGGAGAGGCAGGGAAGGGAGCCGCCACCAGACCTCCAGGGCGGACAGGCACATCTCAGGCTCATCTCCGCCCCCCAAGGCGTGGATCTCGTTGAGTTTCTGCCAGAAGCTGTCGGGGTCACTGGTTGTAAAGACGGGGCCGAACCCTGGGCAGGGGGAAAGGAAGGTCAGGTGAGTGAGGAGGGCAGTGAGGGAGCTGTGGGCCTACCAATGTGGGCACCAGTACCCAAACCCAGGTCCTCTGCGAGAGCAGCAAGTTCTCTTAACTGCTGAACCATTTCCCCAGCCCCTCTTTTAAAATGAGAGAAAATAGTAGTACTCGCCTGAGCGGCTCACTGGGAGAGCTGGAAAGCTGGTGAATTTGTAATCCTTACAAGAGTGACTAGACACGGTACTAACACAGCACTGATGCATGCGTCCACGAAGCATGTGGTGAGTCCCTACTCAGTGCCAGACACTATAAATCAGACTCAAGCCTCCCCCTGAGACCTTCTCAGGCCAGGAGGATACATCAGGATGGGCCCAGGTTAGATGATGGAGCAAAGGAAGATTAGCTGGCCAGCCCAAGCTGCAGTAAGACTGTAGGCCCAGGCCAGGGAAGCTTTCTACTCAGTTAGGAAAGGACTAACAACCCCAGCCTCCCCTCAGAACAGACCCGTCTTCATCCTAATCTCTAAGGCAGGCCTGGAGAGACGGCCCAGCAGGTAAGAGCGCTGGATGTCGCTGCTGAGCAGACCAACACAAAGGCAAAACAGCCACCCACATTTCATAAGCAAAAAACCCCAAAGACAGTGCAGAAATCTAAGGAGGCCAGAGGCACCTGCCCAAGCAGGCACTGGACTTGTGAAAGTGCCACCATTTTAGAGACAGTGGAAGCAGCTACTTCTGCGTGGACACAGGTACCCCGGAGAGGCTCACTCATGACAACAGGTGGAGAGGCCCTGAGGAGCGTCTCCTCACTGGAGGCCTGCAGCTTCCGGCCTGGGCCCTCCTTCCCCCACCCCTGCAGACCCACGCTACCTGGGTCATGGAAGGGCACCAGGACATAGAACACGGGCTCCATGGGGCTGCCCTGCCGCTGCTCCACGATGCGGCGAGCCTGGACCTTGGCTGCATTGATTTCCTCGCCCATGCTGCCTGTGGTGTCCAGGACAAAGCTCAGGCTGGAGGCTGGTGTGATGTCCAGCAGCCTGTGATCCAAGTCAGAGACACAGTGAAGGTTCTGCACTTCCGTCCCCAGTGCCCAGTTCCTCAGTTCCCCCGGGAGCACTGACCGATCGATTGATCGATCCATTGATCGATCGGGGAGCCCATCTCCGGGAGACCACCCACCTGGAGAAACCCCTGTCTCCCAGGCGGCTTCGCAGGAGGCTGAAGGCCTCGATGGAGGCCAGGAGAGCCACTTCCACAGCCCGGAGGTGCAGCATGTGGTGCGGGGAGAAGCTTGGGGATGTGCTGTCCTTGTTGATGCCTCCCCGGGGCGGCTGGGAGCTGCTCTGGTCAAAATGGCCCCCATGGCTACATTTCCCTGAGTTGAGGAAAGAGATCTGGCATGTAAGAGTCAGATGCCCACCTGCCTACTAAAGAGTAGGGAGTCCTCTCTGACCTGGCGTGGCCTTCTCACCCCTCAGCAAGGGAGCATCAGGAAATGGTGATATTTTATGTAAATGTCAAGAGGGGTCAGGGTCTCTCTGCATCCAGTCCCCAGCCCTGCCCAGGCAACAGAGAATGACTGGGTCTCCTCAGAAGCCTGTATCTTCCCATGCTGTGCCTATTCCCACGCCTTCTCCTAAGGCAACCAGGGTCCTCTGTTAAAGACAAAAAAAGCGACTGTCCACTCTTCCTTCTAGGGAGCTTTCCCATCTGGTACCTGGAGGTTTGGGGGGATGCATTCCAAAGTAACCGGAGGTGATCAGTGTGAAGTCCAGCATATTCCCAGGGCAGCTCAGCTCCTCACAGTCAGAGCAGGTAGGGTCACCCACTGGGAAGAGAAGGCAGGGGCTGCTATCGAAGCCTCAACCAGCCGCATTTAATCCCCGGTCACCTAATGTCTTCCTCTCAGCTGGAAAGACAGAAAAGACCACAGGCACCTTGGCCAGGCTTTCTGTACTAGATCCCGGGGCCAGCGTTTGGATGTTGTGATCAGGGCTAGTGTACCAAACCCAGAAGTGTGGGTACTGATCCTGGGGGTTCTGCTCTCTGTGAGCCAGACAGGCTACGAGGCCGCAGTGGACAGGAGGAGCTCCCAGTGAGTTGGGAGCATGAGGGGGCTGGCATGGGTGGGCAGAACAAGCTCCATGAAGACGGCTGTGCGGTCTGAGAGCTGACCTGTGAGCCTGGATGTTTTCCCGTGTAAAGCTGAGAAGGCCCCTGAACTGTTCTAGCTAGACTAAGAACACTGCCGTCCTGCAGGGATAAAGCAAGGTCACAGCCTGAGACCCCAGAAGGTGCTGCAGTGATGGCTGCAGTGAGGGGCTCCCCGAGCTCCCACCTCCACACAGGGGCATGGCCATACCTTGTGCCAGGCTCCGGAGCTCCCGCCGTGGCCAGAGGAGGTGAGGGTGGGGCTGCCGCTCCCCCAACTCCACCCAGTTGCTGTGGCTATAGAAATCCTGGTCCCCAGGACAGAGGGAGAGGGAAAGGCGTTCATTTGATCTAGTCAGGATCAACACCCTGACACGCCACCCGGTGTTCCCCCACACAAAGTATTTCACCCCCTGCTCCTGTTTCCTGTGCCCTTTGCTCCTGTTCACATTGCCTAGGACAAGGCTTTGCCATGGCAAAGCCCAGCCTTTTCTGTCTCAGAGTCTCAGCCAAGGGCTTCTTCCTAGTGGCCCCTAGGATAAGCCAACACCCCCCCCCCCATGTCTTCCTCTCCCTCCTCTGTAGCCACTCCTGCAGGACACCGGAAGTGTTGCCAGCTCAGGCAGGGCATGCCTCACCCCCCCCCCAGAGTATGGGAGGCAGGTGTAAGGCGCTGTAAGTCACCTGCAGGGCGTGAAGCGCAGCCCCGAGGCGCTGGCGGGCCAAAGCGTGCTGGAAGGCTCTGGCGGCCACCAGGGTCTCCCGAAGAGCCCCCGCCAGGAGAGTGCGCCCCTGGACCAGCCGCTCAGCATCAAAGTGCAGGTCAGGGTTGTTCCTGGAAGCCGGCAGGAAGTCTTGGGCTGCATTGGCACGAGACACCTCTCCTAAAGCTGCTCTAAACCGCCGGGAAGGCGAACCAGGTCCAAAGTAGGCCGCAAAGATGTCATCGGCAAGGAGGGTCCGGCCCTAGCAAGAGTGTTGAGGGAAGGGACTGCAGAGAAGCCCCTTGGCTCCTACCACTGCCAGAATGACCTTAGCACCCGCAACTTAAGGCTGGGTGTGAACAGAATGGAGGGTGAGGAGCCCCACTAGGGAGCGTCAGATCTGGACTGGTATTCACTATGTAACTAAACCAGGCTGGCCTTAAACAGCAAATTTCCTCAAGTGCTGGGATTTCAGGTGTGAGCCACCACATCCAGCTAGATATAGACTTCTCCAAGGCTGGGGGACTCAGCATTTTGGGACCAGGTGGTGGTGCAGAGGGGAGTGTGGAGGTGAGCAGGTGAAAGGTGGGTGAGCCTCCCCTGACCACCAGGGCCCTAAGGCAGTGAGAGGACCCAGGAATGCTCACCCTAAAGTCCTCCAGGCGAAGGCGTGGCCGGCCTGGGGGTGGCCGCTCCAGAAAGAGCTGGAGGGTGACATTGAGTGCAGCCTCCTCAGTCAGGTCTTGGTGAGTGACAGAGCCAGGGGCAGCCAGGAGGCTCCAGATGTTGGGAAAGAAAGCAGATGTTGGGGGCAACAGCAGCTGTAGCAGAAGCAGTATTGGGGGGCCCAGGTGGGACAGGGGTACCTCCACAGGGAACATGGCTGAGGCATGGACCTAGGGAACAGAAGGATCTCAAGGGAGAAGGAAAGCGATTCCAGGGTGGACCTTGCTGTCTCCATGGCTCCCGCTGTCCACTTCCTGCTTTGCCTCAGGTGCCTCATCTGCTCCAGCCCGGCTCTCGCACCCTGAACTGGCAACCCATACAACTCAAGGGCCTAAGAGGCCAGCAGAGGTTCCTTGGGGTTCTTGTCCTACACCAGACTGAGCCCCAGCCCTGCCCCATGAACAGGAAAGTCCCCTTAGGCCTCTTACCTGGTGCCGAGTCTCCCAGGCAGCCCTGGCCCGGGTGTGGCGTCACAGGGCACTTAGGTCACAGTTATAATTAACTGGCCTCAGTAGAGCGGGAGGGAGGCCCTTAGCAAGGGGCTGAGGACAGGCAGCCCCAGGCCCTCTTCCATTTATGCCACCCCAGAGCCACAAGATGCAGCGAGAGGCAGGGCGGGACCAGGGCGGGCCTCCGTGGCCGCAGCGCAGTGCAGCGCAGTGAGAGGTGAGCTGGGGAGGAAGGAGGCAGCAGCAGAGCAGCATGACTCAGGCCTGGCACTGTGCCAGAGACAGACCCAGACAGACGCATCCCTCTGCCCACCAGGAATCAGGACCTGGCTGCTGGCCGGCAGCCCTCCTGCTTCGCACACTGTCACCAGGGCTCTGCACCCCTCCCGTCCCCACAACACACAGACAACAACAGTTTTTGGCAAAATATTTTATTGCTGCCATCCCTGTTGGTGGACCACTAGGGGCTTTGAGGGTTGGAGCTGGGGGGTCACAGCATCTTCTGGAACAGGGCAATGGCCTCATCCACCTTCCTGAGCTCTGCCTCTGTCTGTTGCAACTGAGGGTACAAAAGGGGTATGTGGTGAGGACCACGCCCAAGGAGACCCCAATACCCTAGACTGCAGAGGAGCCCAAGTTGGTAAGATGGGTGGGGACCCCAGGGAAGTGAGGGTGGTACGGCTGGCAGGCACACCCCACACTCCATCAAGACCCTGCCTCTAGCGTCTTCCTCTTCCCGAGTGGCCGGTGCCCACTGAATGGGCCTCAGACCACACACCCTGCCCGGCATGGCCACCTGTGCAGGAGCCCAGCCGAGCTCCCTGGCCACACACCAGCCTCTCCACAGTGAGGTGCAAGGGTCACTTCCCTCCGAGCGCCCGCGTGAGCACTCACTGTAACGAGCACTCTCAAGCGCTGGGCCTCCCGGGAAGACCGTAGAGGCCGGGGTCGCGGGGTCTCCACAGCAGGAGACAAGCCTGCCTCGCGGGTCAGCCCAGGCAGCTAAGCAGGGCAGGCACCACACCAAGACGCCTGACTGCCGCGTGGGTGCCAGGGTCCCGGCAGCTGGGCTGGCCGAGGACCAGGGTAGGACAGAGGAAGCGCATGTCGGACACCCCACAGCACACACCTTTGCCTCATCGGCCTCCTGGACCTCAAGGGGCACCTTTGCCGAGTACCCAGCGGCAGCACGGCGCTCCTGCAGCCGCTGGGCCTGTCGCTGCGCCTCACTGCGCTTGGCCTGCAGCTTGCCCAGCTCCCGGGCTGGGTCCACTAGCCCCTGCAGATGCAGGTGGATGGAGCAGCGGTCCGAAGCCACGGCCACCGCACAGCCCTGTGGAGCAGGAGCCCCCAGGGCCAGGACAGCCACCACACCGGCACTGGCCAGCACCTGCACGTAGCCGGACACCGCCGACGCCAAGGCGCCCGTGGCCTCATCAGCTACTTCCAAGAAACCTGTCGAGGAGGGAGGAAAGTGAAGCCTGGCTACGGCAGACCCTGGGCTCCCAAGGGGCTGATGGGACGGGGGAGAGGTGGACACAGGGCCCGAGGCTCACAGTCAGGCCTGGTCCGGGTCAGGTTGTAGTCCGCACGCAGGGAGCGCACAGCTCGAGTGATGCTCAGCGCCAGCTCAAAAGCAGCTTCGGCCTCGGGGTCCTTCCAGGAGCACTGTGAGGAGGCAGAGTGGGGTAAGGGGCTGCTTGGGCGGGCTGCAGCCTGCCCTCCAGGTCTAACCTCATACCTCTGAGGGCTCTGGGTAGGGGGTGACACACAGGCTTGCAGGAGCTGCTGGGGTCCGCCGGGGCAGCCTCTGGAACAGCTCCTCTGTGACAAAAGGCATGAAGGGTGAGAGCAGGCGCAGGCCGACGTCCAGGCAGGTGTAGAGGGTCTGCCGCGCACACTCTGCCGCCACCTGGTCCACTCCATTCAGCACGGGTTTTAGGCACTCCTAGAGAAGGGGGGGTGCGCAGTGCTCACGGTCAGCACCGCCTGGAGCCCCACTGTGCCCTTGAGGACGGGAAGGCAACAGGCAGACTCGGCCTGAGAGCCAACACCAGCTAACCGAGCCCCGCCCCACTGCTTACCAAGTAGACATCACAGAGCTCATAGAGCCAAAAGCTGTACTGGGCGGTGGTGATGGCCGGAAAATCGTAGGCCTGGAAGCCTTCATTGCTGAGCCTCACGGCCTCAGTCAGCCGACTACGGATCCAGCGGTCCACTAGGCTCTCACGCCCTTCAGGCTTGGGGGAAGAGGAATGTCAGCCAGTAGGCCACCACATGCCCAGGGCAGGGAGCCAGATCCCACAGGAGCAGACAGGGACCACAGGAGAATCTGTATTCCTGACTTGTCCAATGTCTGGGGAGAAAGGATAGGCCCAGCCCCTCGGTGAGAGCCCAGTGCCTGTCAGTCACCAGTCTCTACCCGTCTGTCCTCAGGCTAAAAGGAGGATGCTGAGGGGACAGCATGGCAGGGACTATGCTTGATCTCGAGGGTTGGTGGTGCGGTCTGTGTGGGCGCTATCAACAGTCGCCTCCCACCAGAACCTCACCTGGGAGGTGGGCAAGGGCACGAAGCTCTTCCCAAGGCCACGCAGGGCGAACTTTGTGGCATTCCAGAGTTTGTTGCAGAAGTGGCGGTACCCCAGGATCCTGTTGACATCCAGGTTGATGTCTCGACCTAGGGGAGGGGCCAGTGTGACTCCACCCTGCTCTTCCTCCCAGAGAGGTCCTCTGCAGCCCGAAGTGGAGGAGAGCATGGGTCTCGGGGAGGACACACAGGCAACTGAGGAAGAGTGGCGACCACACATACCTTGGGATGTGTAAGCACAGAGTCCAAAGCGCAGGGCATCGGTGCCACACTCGGGAATCCCTGCTGGGAAGTCGGCCTTCTACAGGATGCAGAGCAAACAGGATGGTCGGCCCTGCCCACCTGCTGCAGCTCCACCCCTGGGGCGTGGCCCCCATACCTGTCCTTCTTTGGCTTTCTCCACCTCAGTGGGATCCAGGTTGCTGTTCAGTAGTTGGTCATGGAGGCCCTGAGGGAGGAGACGGGAGCTGTGAGGTTGTTCTAGCCACAGCCGCATAGCCGTTCCTAGCTGACCCACTGAGAGCCCCACCTGCAAGGAAACCCCATGGATGACATCCAGCGGGTCGATGACGTTGCCAAGAGACTTGCTCATCTTCCTGCCATGAGCATCACGCACAATTGCATGGAGATAGACCTGGGGGCAGGCGGTGGGAAGACAAGTGAGGCCATGATCCTCCTATCTTGGCTCTCACCAGGATCGGTGCCTAGTGGCCCTACCCGCTCAATGCCTTAATGTGTCTGAGCAGTACCCTCCCCGGGGAAGAGGAAGCCCCGGGCCAAGAACCCCTGAGTGGAAGGAAACCTCTTAGCCCTGGGCCAGACCAACCAATGCTATCCCTAGCCAACAACCACACAAGGAGGCAGGTGAGGAGGCACAGGTTGGGGGGGGGGGGTCTTAGCCATCTTCGCACCTCTCTGAAGGGCAGCCTGCCTGTGAGTTTCAGGCCCAGCATGACCATCCGGGCCACCCAGAAGAAGAGGATGTCATGGCCTGTCTCCAGCAGGGTCCCAGGGTAGAACACACTAAGGTCTTCTGACTGGAAAGATGAGGGTGTGAGGTGAGCCAAGCATTCTCTTTTAAAGCTCCTCTCCCTCTTCACGCTAGAAACACACCTGATTGGGCCAACCAAAGATGGAGAAGGGAAAGAGACCGGAGGAGAACCAGGTGTCCAATACATCCTCATCTAGAAGAGTCAAAGGTCAGAGGTTAGACAGGTTGAGAAAACAGGGCCAGGACCCCAACTGTACCCCACTCCGTGCCTAGCCCTGCCTTGCTGAAGGCTGATCTTGTCAGGGGACACTCCAAACTCCCGTGCCGCTTTCTCCCTGGCCTCTGCCTCAGTGCGTCCGCTCACCCAGTACCGCCCATCAGGGTCCTAAAAGAGAGGGTTATCACAACAGGTTCCGCTACTTTGCCCAGACCCCTCTACCAACCAACAACCACTGCCACTCCAACATCTAGCTGTGGCCTTTCCTCACCTCCCCGGCGGGTACGGCTGGGTCATGGACAGTGATAAAATAGGCCGGGATTCGGTGGCCCCACCACAGCTGCCGAGAGATGCACCAGTCTCTACAAACAGCAAGGGGTGAGTCAGGGTGCCCAGGATGTGCCCCTCAGCTGGCCACCCTCCCCACCCAGGGCCATACACACCGGATGTTGTCCATCCAAGAATGCCAAGTCCGTTGATGGGCCTCAGGCAGTATACGGAGGTCGCCCCGGGTCACAGCCGCACTGGCAGCCTGAGCCATCTCCCCACAGCGGACGTACCACTGTGGCCTTAGCAGAGGCTCCACCACATCCTTGGAGCGGCTGGAGGAGGAAGTGAGCATGGGAGGAGGCCGGGGCTGAGTGCTGGAGAAGCCCCCACTGTCTCCCACCCGCACCAGACCCAGGCTCACTTGCAAAGTGGCACCACCATGGGGTTGTCCTTGACGCCACGGAACAGGCCCCGCCCCTTCAGTGCAGCCAGCACGGCCTTCCTGGCCTCAAACCTGGGCATGCCCTGGACGGGAAAGGCCTCATCATGGCGATGCCCAGGTAACCCTGCACCTCCCACCCAGGTCCCCACAGCCCAGACATCCTCACCAAGAAAGGTGGAGGCACATTGACCAGGGCCCCCTTTGAGTCCATGATGCTGATGGCCTCCAGCCCGTGCCGCTGCCCAACCTCATAGTCATTCTGGTCGTGGGCAGGGGTGATCTTCACGGCACCTGGAGAGCACAGGCGGTCAGCGCTCCCTCCCACACCTCTGTGCTGCGGGGTCTCCTGGACCACCCCGCCCCAGTCCTGCCGAAGGGAGTGAAGGTATTTTCGTCTCTTCTCCCACCTGTGCCGAACTCCATGTCCACGAAGTCATCGAAGACAACAGGGAGGCTCCGGGACAAGAATGGATGAATGACGCTCTTCCCCTTCAGGTGCTGACCACGGAGAGACATCAGAAATGAATGCTGCAGGGCTGGATGCGACCCTCACCCAGGCAGAGCCTCCTCTCCTGGGCCAGCACCCATCCCCGCTGCCCACAGCTCCAATTTCAGGGCCGGGAAAGGAGCCCAGAGTAGCTCAAGCCCTGGCAGTAGCAGGGCCCTCAGAGCCTGCCCCACATGCTCCCCCCCGGAGCAGGCAGCGCCCCCACCCACCTGGTATCTGGGGTCTCTGGGGTGCACTCAGAGCCTGTCCCACATGCTCCTCCCCGGAGCAGGCAGCGCCCCTGCCCACCTGGTGTCTGGGGTCTTTGGGGTGCACTCAGAGCCTGTCTGTCCCACATGCTCCCCCCC